GCTCTCCTTATATCAAAGATGACATTTGGCATTTGTTTTTTAGGGCTTGGCTAGCTTCACTTAGCATAATCTGCTCTAATGCCATCCATTTCCCTGCAAATTCCATGATTTTGTCATTTCTTAGTGCAGAGTAATACTCCATTGTGTATAAATGCCACATTTTTTTATCCATTCATCTATTGAAGGGCATGTAGGCTGGTTCCACAGTCTAGCTATTGTGAATTGTGCTGCTAGATAGTCATTTTTAAGGTAGGATTTGGATAGATGTTTTTTCCCCTAGAAATTTTGATATATGATATCCAGTAAAACAGGTGAGTTAACAGAACTTATATTGCTTAGTGATACTCTTCTTAAAATCTAACTGCTAGTTTACTCAGACTTTCATCTTAGACCATGTCATTAAGACCTTCTGTAGCACCACACACATTCCCCATATTCCCTTTACCTCTCCAGCTCACTCTTGCTGGCTCATTCTCATTGATCTTGAAATAGTGAGGTACCTTAGGACCCTACATACACATCTCACTTTACTCATTCCCTAGACTGATAACTGTATTTTTGCCCAGAATTCCACTGACCCTCACACTGCCATCTATTAACTGTCTGCTTGGCATCTTCTCTTATATATTTCGCACGTACCACAAGCCTTATCATCATCCTCACCACTCATCCACCTCCCACTGGCTCCCCTTGCAGTGCAGTTTTTCTTTATCTTGGTGCTGGCACAACCTTCTACTCTATGGTCTAAATCAACACCCTGGAAGTCATTTTGACTCTTGCTCTTTCTTATGGTAAGGCCAGTGAGTTGCTGTATCTTAATCATATGACTTCCTAGAATCTAACACTATTCTCCAGACCTAACTGTCCCCTCTATCTAGACCTCTCTCTTCTCTGGCCTGTACTCTTACATTCATTCACCTACCCAGTTTTCGTAGATCTTCGCTACCCTACACCCTACCCTTATGGTAAGGCCAGTGAGTTGCTGTATCTTAATCATATGACTTCCTAGAATCTAACACTATTTTCCAGACCTAACTGACCCCTCTATCTGGACCTCTCTCTTCTCTTATATTCATTCACCTACCCAGTTTTCCTAGATCATCACTACAATATACCCTACCCTACTTCACGAAGCATCCCATTCCCCACCTATAACCCATTCCCCACATATTATTCTGTTTATTTAAAAACACAAACTTGGGGTGGGGTATAGTAGGACACTTGCCTAACATATGTAAAGGCCCTGGGTTTAACCCTAGCACTGGGGAAAAAAAGAAGAAATGGACTGGGTTTGTGGCTCAGTGGTGGAGCGTTTTCCTAGCATGTGTGAAGCACTGGATTAGATTCTTAGCACAACATTATAAATAAATAAAGGTCCATCAACAACTAATAAAATATTTTTTTAAAAAAGAAACCCACCCATTAACCTAATAACTTTACTCACTACCTAAACCTTTTCATTTCCTTTAAAACAAAGTCCATAGCCTGAGACTTACCATACCTTCCCACTCACCTCTGCCTCTTCCTCTCAAGGCTCTAGCTATGTTGCTATTCTTTTAAAAAAATATATATATATTTATTTATTTATTTATTTTAGTTTTCAGCAGAC